ACAACCTGGTCCTACGTTATTTACAGTTCAATTACCAGACACAGCAAGGGCCAGATTCTCAGCTGACGTTGAAGTCAATACGCTCTCCCCCCCCCCCCCCGGCCCCCATCTCACAAGTTGCCTGTTGGCCATAAAGTCTTGCAGCAACATAATCACTCGTTTGGGTACTAACCTTCGAGGCTGGGGGTTGAAATGTTGCACGGCTCGGACACGATGATTGTTGGAGCAGATGTGAAATCTAAAAGAAAGACAGTAAACCACTGTGACGTTGCACTCCATATGTTTTATGGAAATATGCTTAGGAGTGTGAATCTGATGTAACTGGAAAATGCTTTATTCAAAAGGTCTCTTGTAAGTTATCATAACAAAGGTTATAACCTACAGAATATATTCCTTCTGTTTGTGTGCATGGATCATTCTTGTATCTGAAGCTAGAAATAAGAAGTATAGCCCTGAGGTCCTATTGTAATTATGTAAAGTGTGGGCCCTTAACGGTGGTTTAGAATCTTGATGGCTCCAATTCACTAGGACAATTGGTTGTAAATGGTTTATTTATCTGCAAACCTTCCAGTGTATGTGTGGGCCAACCCAGGAAGAATGGAGACTAGCAGTCTTACAGTGACATGTGACCATGTCACATGATGCTGGAATCCATCTTAATCCTTGTACGTTTCCATTGATGAGGCGGAGGTGTGTACAAGCACAGACAAAAGATTTCCGCCATGTGCCAAAGATATAAAAGTGGGTGGACCAGGACAAAGGGGGATGCCGGTTATGAGAAAACCCCTGCTTACCACCTGAGATGTCTGCTGGATGTAACAAGAACTGTACCAGGGGAAAGGATTGGGCCCGGACTAGGAAGGAGTCTAGTCTGTGAAAGAAGCTTATTGGAATATCTTTGAGGGTGAGATATTACCTGTAATCAGTTTCTTAATGTATTAGGCTTAGACTTGCATATTTTGTTTTATTTTGCTTTGTGACTTACTTCGTTCTGGCAGTTATTACTTGAAACCACTTAAATCCTATTTTTATACTTAATAAAATCATTTTTGTTTATTAATAAACCCAGAGTAAGTGATTAATACCTGGGGGAAGCAAACAGCTGTGCATCTCTCTCTCTCTC